AACAAGCCTCATTTTTGGTGACCCTTCGTAGTCGGTGTAGACCGGTGATTTGAGGTGCCACTCACAGGAGATGGCTATGAGCCCTAGACCGTAGAGAGGTGGACAAGAGCAACTGGCAATGCAGCAGATGACGGTGATGAAGGCAGAACTTGTGTCGACACCGGTCCCCGAACGGATTTATCCAAAAAGTATATCACCAAGAAGCACCTCACTTGATTTTCTATTGTAGTGCAGTCGCCAACATCCTCTATGCCTGGAATGCAGCGAGCGCCTCCTGTCTCCTTTGCCAGGCAGCCATCCAGTCCTGCAGGCAGGAACGGAAGTTCTGGGTCAAAGATGTTGCCAGAGTTTGGTGTAGATCATCACCAGCATCCCTCATGCACAACACTGCTCTGGCCTGGTTGAATCCCTTCGATTGCAGCAGTTTCGTCAGCTTGCATCTTGATGCCGATCTTGTTCCATCCATGTTGATGCTGGCTGCATTGTAGTTAGGTGTGTTTGATCGAGGCTGTTCGAGGAAGGCGGCCGTTGTCCCACGGAAGCCCAAGTTGATGGCGGACGGGAAGGATGGGTGCTTATGGAAGCTGTAGCTGTATTTCACCGTCGTTCTCTCTGCGTATTTGAAACATGGCGTCGCAGTCGCTGTCGGTGTTCGGGCCGTCGCACTGTCAGCTCAGCATTTGCAGTCCCTAGCGTTGTCGGTGTGCTTTCGGGCTTGCGGTATGGCGGGTCGCGGTCGGTGTTCCCCTCACCATGTCGAAGTTATAAAGCTCGCTGTTCCGGACAGTATCAGCCTTAGCCCTGCACTCAACCAGGCGAGTCGTTAGGTGTTTGGCTGGTGAGTCCCTTTCGGTGTCTCCGGTATGTGGTGAAGTGTTCTCGTTGCCACGTTGCAGTCTCAAGCGATGACTTTATGACTGAAGCGCCATTTGGTAGCTGAGGTTCACACCACAATGCCAAGCCACACATGCGTCGACCGGAGAGGAACGAAAAACCTACACCGACACCCGGACCTGACCTGCGCACGGACGATGAGAGCATCGATGAGAGACGAACCAGGGCTCCGACCGACCTTGCCGATCGTGATCGACAAAAAATGGCCAGCTTGAACACCAGTCTGAACGAACAGCCGTGGTGGTGGTATCGGGGTAGTGGTCGTGGTCCTAGTCGTGGTCGTGGTCGTGTTCGTGGTGGTGATAAAGAGGGGTCGTGCTGGTAGTGGAAGTAGTGGCTGAGTAGTTGGTAGTGGTCTGGGTGGGCATGGCAGTGACGGATCAGGATTGCCATGCTAACTTCGCCCAAATTTAGTGACTGGTGACTATGCTGATGGTAAGCTCCTGCTCCGGGAACAGTGGTCGATATTTCTGCAGGGAGGTAAGAACAGTCGTAGGCGAGTGATGTAAGCGCTCCGCAGGAGTACCCGTTCATTCCCTGCACTTGCTGCGAGCGCATCTCGCCCATTACAAGGACCGGGACACGAACCCCCCCCCCCCGCCTAGTGAGTTAACTTTAAGATTGCATCCTTAAGTTTCCTCTGAGGTTTGGCCAGCACAGCCATGCACATTCAAGTCGGCGGTTCAACCCTTTAAACCTTTCGGAAACAACCGGGCAACAAGGCAACTGCCAGTATGGATGCTCGAATGGTTTCGGAACATCAAAGAGGTTGCTTCGTCCCCCTGTACTTTGTGTTGTTTTCGTAGCCGGCGATTGTATAATCAAATATATGTATATAGATATGTATATCCGTTCTGGTCTAGGATGATGCGAGACGCCGGGATGGAGCGATGACCCTGCAGCTGCATCCTCAGAAACCGCAGCAGCTTCAAACGTTCAGTTCTGATTATATGGGGGCTTCCGAAAATGGGGGACCCTAATATAGTACCCTAGATAGTAGGATCCTTATCATATGGACCCCAAAATATGGTACCCTAATTTTCGGAAAATCCCATATAACGCAGGGCGTTAAGTCTGAGCAGGCCAGCGGATCATGG